TGACACTGAAGAGTCTGCTTTATCGACCTTGTACAAATTTGGCCGACCTTTCAGCATCCTCTTAACTATGGTAGCGAAATTTCTTTTTTCCGTGAACATATCGGTTAGTTCTGATAACTATTTTTATGTCGCTATACAATGTGATCCTAACAGACATGCATGTTTTGCTATTTTATTTACCTATTAGAAGCTACAGCAAACTATTTTGTTATAGTGTATAAATTTATAGTTACGGCAGCAAACACAGTTTTAACCAACCCCGATTAGCTATGGCAGCGAATTTTTTTTTCCATGCAGCGAGCTCTACACTGCAAATCTAAGTGTTTTACGAAATGATTTAAAATAAAACATTAGAATGTTTTATTAGATGAAATATATGACAATAAAACACGATAGCTGTTTAATACATCAGTTTGAAACATCATTATGTTTTGTTACAAAACGTTTAATACGTTTTCGATAAATAATATGTTTACTTATGTTTTCAAGCATTACACAAAAAATATAAAACACTAAAACCGAGTTAAAGTAAAGCACTTATCAATGGAAAAACGTTTAAAATACAAAACACAAATTATTATTTTTATTTATTGAAAATTTGACAATATACATTACAAGTTTTAGAAAGATTTAAATCTACCCGAGAAATTCACATGGCTTTACAACTTGATAAGCATTTAATTTAGACTCATAAGAAATAGTTTCAAGTGATGTTACTATGAATAAAATGTTATTTCCTAGAATATATAAATCATTTAATTCCCCAAAAATCGGCATGAAATCTTCTTTACACTTTAGTAAAAGAATACTTTTATTTTGATAAGTTACTCCACGTTTAATCACTTTAAGCGATCGCATAATTTGATATGTATTTCTTTCTAACTCTTCAACATAACTATCAAATAATCTTGCATACGGTTTATTAAAGGAACAGTCGGACCAGCAGTAATTTTATCTCCTTGATATAAAATATTTTTGACAACTGACCTGGATAAGAAACAAATTGGGAACAGAGACGTGCTTGATGACGATAAGACATTGTATATCGCATATTTTTAAAATTTCGTACAATCGGAACAAGTGATTTAAAATAAGCATGTGCAGATTCAAATCGAAAACACCATTGTTGTCGTCCGGGACCAAATAATTTTATATATCGCGGCACATGTATCAAGAAATGGAACTTTGGAACAATATTATCAAGATACAGTAAAACAAAGCGTGATAAAAATGTTTCAATAAGTCGGCTTAATAGATCAATTGATTCTGCAGTAATTTCATATGCAAGACACAAGTTCATAATTTGTAACATTAAAATAAAACAATCAATTTGATTGTTAAGATCTGCATTGTTATTATTTAATATCCATTCGTCAATTAGAAATGGTATAGTGTGAGCCAAAACAAACATTTGTTCTGTACTTTGACGTAAAGGTTTATCAACAGCTAAATTACTTCTTTGTATCGCAGCAGGTTTATTTATACTAAAATGCCCAAAGTTAAATAGAGCTAATTTTTTATTGAGATCATTGATAGAAAAAAGTTTTTTTTCTATGATGCAATAGCATAAAAATAGTCGACATGTAATTTCTGTTATTCCTTCAATTAAAATATGCATACAGTCTTGTGGAAGACATATAGTAATATCAAAATGAGGAATCTTTATCAAGGGACTTCTGTTATTGACTCCATAAATTTTCTGCCAAAATTGTTTTGTTCTCTTTGTAATATTGGGTTTATTAATAGCATGTAAATGATCTTCATGATCAACTTTATTTCGTAAAACAAGATCACTT